AGTGTTATTTGCAACTTTTAATTATTTTTAATTTTGAAAGTCCTTGATTCAATGTCACAAAGGAGCAAAACAATGTTTTAGACTGCACCTATGAGAGAGAAGAACTTGCTGGAAAACACACAACTTGAGAATATTTCTAATGGTAACTGTTTCAGCTGAAAGAATAAAATGCATTTTCCTGAAGGACAAGGGGTTACTTTATCTGTCTTTCTTCTTATGTTTAAGTGCTTTCTTTTTTGCTTATAATGAAAGTACTATGGCACTGAATTCATGTTTGGGTTGACACAGAGAAAGCAGCAGGCTAAATTATATAGCCAATACAAATCTCATGCAATAATGATGAAATAAGTGTAAAATGACTGTAACCAAACCAGATGCTTTATGAAGTAAGGTCTCTTCTAAATTCACTATGTGTAGGCAATATAGAGAAAATGGAAATGCATTAAAAAAGATGAAATTGTAGAATAGACTGGCCGAATTTTTTAATGAGACTGTAAAATATTATGATAAGGCTCTGTTTAAAATATACTTGGCCTTTGTCGCTGCAGTATAAAGCAGATAAAAACTTAGTGAGACGTCAGGGAACATAATTAGAAGTCAAGCTGGCATGGAATTACGGTGCTCAAAAAACACAAGGAGCCAGTTCTAAGCCCCTGGCCTGTGATGAGAAGTTCTGCTGACTTCAGCATTAAGTAAAAATAACTGAAATAATTGTGGGCTGCAGGAATGGACCTTGGTCATTATTTAATCTAAACGCAGCAGAGCTTCAGTTTAGTAATGGTGACATGAACTTTGCAACGAACAGCTATTTAACAAAGAGGTCAAAAGCCTTCTGCTACTGCTACTAGCTAAAGAAGCAGCCACTTAATCTCAGGCAGTGTACAGCTGCCCTACTTACAATATATAGCAGCCATTACAAAATAAATGGGTATTTATAGTCAAATTTATCATCCTTACATTGTCATATACAGAAAGACACACACAATACTCTATTAGACTAGTTTGGTTTAGTTTCAGGTTGTTTTTTTTTTCTAACTCTGAGCCCATATTTTAATAGAGGCATTTAACAAAAGGTTGAAGGTTTATAATTGGGTAAATTTCATTCAACTTTGCAAGGATAAAATTTGCATAACTTCAATTCAAAGGGCTTCAATTCAAGAACTTCTAAGAATAAAAATTCTCTTGAAATATCTGACATTTCCAAATGGAAATGCCATCAGAAAAAATCAACACTTGAGGTTCAATTCTAGGTTTACAGAAAGATCTATAGAGAAAATAAGAATGACAATACATTCTAAAAAATGAAAGTTTTGAGCTGGCCAGTGGTTTCTAGTTCTTCATCAACAGGTTATCAGTCTTCAGCTTAAAGCATGGTAGTGGTCATAACTGTCTTCTGTTTTCTTTTTGCTAAAAAATATTAGTAGTGAAGCTTACTGAACTGCTCTGGCTTGATTAAATGCATGGCAAAAGTCAAGCTGTGGAATGGCTCTTTTTCTATGCGATGGCATACAATGACATATGATCCTACAGCTTTCAGAAGGAGTCAAGGGAGTAAGATAGCACAAATGCCTGTGAGAGATAGCTGGCATGAAACAAGTCATACGCCAGACATCATCCTCTGCAGTGATAACTTCTTCAGTGAGCCGGATGTCGGGGGGAGGGGAACAGAGGGCTGCGGAAAATGAACGTGTCTTAAACATGATCTTCATCGTTCTAATGAGTTATTTAGTTACACAACCCTCTCCTATTGCTAAGCAGGAGAATACGTCATGATAGCCATTCTGCAGAACATTCATTACCCCAAAATCAGGTTCCTTACACAAGCTTGTCTGCTTAACAACTCTTCTTATTTGTGCATGTACCCAGTATTTTGTATTTGGACCTGTCTGAGAAAGTTTTATATATACAAATTTTAAAAATATCCAAGGAAAAACAACATAATCATTACATTGCTAAAATGGTTGTCAAGTGTCAGAAGAAAATATCAGAAATTCAGAACTGATTATTTTTTAAAATAATCAGGTGGTCCTATACTAACCATATAGGACCTGGTGGTCCTGTACTAATGTATGGACTCTCCATGCAGAACAGTGGAACCAAAACCACAGGGCTGATGGCTCAAGGAAGCATTTAAACTAACATACCATCTTTTGTAGTGGGCAGAAACGAGACCTAGCACTTGAGTTTTGGCCACTTGAGAGAGATTTCCTCTTTGCTGCAACTTAGATTAGCCTTAGCACTTGGGTAACAGTCTTCAACTCATAATAGCTGAGGACTGCCAGGAGACTTTTAACAAAGAGCCCTCTCTTCTGCAGTGCATACACGTTCTTTCTCTCTCCACATCAGGAAAAGAAGCCCCAAATTTAGCGACCAGCAAGAGCCTTGTACAAGATTGCTCTCTCTTCTAAAAGCATTCCACTAGGGAATTAAAAGTGATCAAGCAGTTTGAGAAAGGGCAATCTCAGTCTGGGCTGAATACAAATCAAATACATAAACGAAGCTGCACATCACTTAGACTTACTGCTGATAAGTATCGACAGCAGCATGGCCTTTTCCCTTTCCTTGGACCATCTTCTCCTCAAGTCGAACTTACATAGATCAAAATAATTATTATGCTCTTCCATACTAGTATCCAGATGCTCCTGACACTACATGCTGCCAGGTTTCAATGGGCTGAAGGGTTATCTATTAGGGCAGACTTTTTAGTGGATGTCACTTTTAATACGGAGTCAAGAGTGCCTACTTTCTGTGTTGCAAGCTTGTTTGTTTTCAAAACAATTGTAGTAGTAAATAGTAAATTCCATTCTAAGTTTAAGTTCCAAAGCAATTCTATGCTTTCAAAATGACTAAGTTATAATTTTCCACCTTTAAACTACAAAAATCAGAAAGAGCTCCTCACTGTTTTGACCTTGGTTCAGATTTTAAACTCCAGATAGATGGCTTAAGAAAGCTGTATATTTTATCTCCTACATGCTTAAAGGAAACATTATTTCATATCTATTTTATTTCAAACTCAAACTGGAAAACAAATGATTGGTGGGGGAGGGAAAGAAGCTCAATCACTGGAGATACAGAATTTTGTAAGAAGTCCCAGTGACAAAAAATAAAGGCAATGGTATTAATGTTTCTGCAACTCATAACTTTTAATGAAAAAAGATATGAAAAATAGTATATTCTGCATAAATAGAGCCGTTCTGAAGCTGGATTCAGATCACTAATGTTTTCTAATTGAAGAAAACCAAACAATGATTTCTCTTCCACTTCAGTTATGAAACCGATCCCAACCATCTTCCTTCCTATTTATGCCATTGCACCCCTTCTGAATTATTTGCCTAATTTGTCAATCCAACAGAGATTTGTTTAAAGGTGGGAGGAGATTAAGAGTTTTGGGGGAGTTGTTTATGGCTGAAGATTGTAACCCAGCCTCTAGCACTCATGATAACCAGCACTACAACACTCACCTCGAATGAGATAATATAGGAAAGGTAATCTACAATTAGCTAACAAAGCTACAAAAATCAGGTTTTTCACATTAAGCTCTAAATCGCATTTAATAGATTGAGGGATAAAGTCTAATCAATCTTTTTCATATGAATACAAAACACCATATTTGATTTACTTTTATTACAAAAGTAGTGAGCCTAACCCCCCAAATTATTATTTTTTAATTAGAAAATTATTTTGAAAAGTCTAATGAAATTCTGATTTTTTACTTCAAACTATTCATAGGAAAATCTGAAAGGAACTCGGATGATAGAAAGCCAATTCCAAGATGTCTGAGTTACAAACTTTTTCATACTTTTGCCTTTACTGCACAAAATATAGTGGCTAATCATGTGATGCCTCTATGCCAGAAAACTTGCTGAGAGAAATTAAACAAGAATGACAGTAATTACATATTCTGACCTATATTTCTTCATTTCTCAAATATTTTGAATACAAGGGTGATTTCTATTTGTATTCTACAATTTTAAAAGTCCACTAATTGCAAGACTTTCTAAAATAAATGTAAATTGTCTGGATGGGCACCATCCAATTTTTAATGGACAGGTGTTCATATAAAAATTCAACAGTATCAGCAACAAGCGGGAAGTTACTGGTGGGGGGAGGGGTGTTAAGAAATTATTTGGCTCACAGCTGAACTTCCTATTTAACCACAGGGATGATCAAATTAAGTCAAGGTCAAGTATGTCACAGAGCAGCTGTGCCATGCAGCAGATAAGAACTGCTGGTGTATATATATAGTAAATTTGTCTTGATTTTCTAATCCACCATTTGTGTCTTGCAATTGAAGGCTGCTTCAGGAGACAAAGTGGCCTCCTGCACTCTCAGCCTTTATTTTGTGCTCTCCAGGTTCAGCTCTTTCCCAGGCTGCTTGAAGCCTTTGTGGTGCAGCAGCTCCCTAGCAGTCACTGCATCTCTGGTCTACAAGGAAAGCTTTACAGCTGTCCAACACTGAAAAATAACCACCAAATAAGAGAGATGTTTAAATGTCCCTAACAGAATGAAGTGATTTGACTGAAGGTGCGGGTTCTCACCCCCAGAAAATTTTACTTTCAGATGTAGCCCATCTAGAACTCTTACTAACCACTACAAATACATCCTTTCAACATAGAGTGGTTTGGGGCCCTGTAATACTTTGGCTTCATAATCTATAATTTTCCTGTTTCAATAAATTAAAATAAATTGATTTATGGCAGTTAATACACAGGTACTGAAAAAAATGGCTATAATTTTTTGGTACCCATCTGTCCTCCTCTTACTCCATCTGTTTCCTTCACTCATTGCACTGGAATTCTGCTTCATGAAATGGGATCCAAGCTCTTTCGTGTAGGACAGTGTAAGTTACCTAGCTACCCAGCTGAAAGATATTTTCAAATTAAATCACTCTCCTTGTACTCTGCAGAAGGTAACAGAGACCATTTTGTTGTTAATATATGTCTGAGCAATCCTTCTTTCGACAAAATATACAACTCTCAGTAAATTTCCTCTAATTTCAGACTGTGCACTTCAAAATAATACCATAAAGGCTCATCATTTCAATCCATTATTGATTACACCTTGGGGACTTTCCACCGATTCCACTTGATGCTACTTTTAAAATGGTAAGTACCTAGATAATTGTGCGATATTATAAACTGGTTTATATTTTTACACTAATACAACACTATAAATGCACAGTACTATATGATTTCATTGGATAGTACAGCTTTTCTTAAACTGCATTGACTGAATTTTTTTTAGATTTTAACAGTTCTTTGGCCTGTTAATGATTGAGAATTTTGATTTACTCTAAATGTAAGTGTTTAACAGGAAAAGAAAACCTAAGAAACCCTTCCCCCCTTTACAATGCAAGATAGAAGATATATAATAAGAAGGCTGAAATTAATTTTTTGAGCAATTGTGCGCAACAAAAATACAAAACCCACTACTGAAAATATTTTTTCTGTGGGATACTATGAACAAAGGATACTTCTATTATTATCTCATCCTTAAGGCAGCGTGGTAAGTGAGGTCATTCAAAGGTCAAAAAGGGGTAGTTGCTGTTGCTTTATAAAGGGGCTCACACATAAAGTTCCTCAGTATTCATAGTGTCTTTCTTTTCTAAACTAACACGGTAGCTAGAGTACCTACATGCTTTAAATACTTTGATTTATGCACTTCATTATTAGCATCATATTAAAAGGCAAGTTATATTTTATTTGTAGCTACAAAGGACTTTTGCCTGATATTGAATATATACAAAATAGAATATACAAGAGTACAAGCATACAGAATACAGTTCACAGGAACAAGCATTTAAACACACAACTTTTTGACTGGTGTGCTGTACTCATCACTTGTTTTGTTTGGTTTTTCTCTCTAATGCCACATGTTATTTTACCAAAATTTCAGTAGCATAACTGCCTATAAGAATTTTCTTGAGTCAAAAGCAGTATATCACTTGCCTCTTCAGGCAAGAAGGAGCATTTAAAATGTAAGGGAATTTAAAAATATGTAGTAAGAACTTAAGTTGGAAATTAAATGTTTTTCCAAGATGAAAAATGGAAACAAGCACTGGTAATAGCACTTTGTAAAATGGAACTTTCATATTAGACATCCCTTATAGTGATGTAGGTGACTAAAAAAAATGAGGATTGCAATTATTTTAATCTTTAGGTGTACATTTAAATACATATAGCCCATTTCTCCTTTCTATAGCAGAGTCTGAAGTACTTACAAATGAAAGCAAAAAAATGAATGGCTCGTATTAATCATATAGAAAAAAAATTAAAGTCTATATACCTCCTGTCATCATTTTAAAAGGATTAATAATAAATTATTTGCATAAAGCAAAGAAAACGCTTATATGTGAGAAAGCATGCATCTTTCAGACATCTGTGAGCTACTTCTCTTGATCTGTTCTAAAAACAGAAACTAATTATGGAGAGACTAAAACCAAAACAATGCCCCCTGAAAATAAGAGAGACTGTCTTTTAAAAATATACTCAAAATAGTGTGAGTAAATCTATATCATACAGATACACAATCATTAAACACATTGGAATAATAAATCTTTTTCAAGTCTAGTCTTCCTCCTCCTGCAAGCAAGGATTAAACTTACACTAACTCCATTCAAAGCAGAATCAACCTTGATGCATTCTTTCTCTACTAATATTTTCTGGCCTATGGAGTATCAATATTAACTGTGAATGGCAGAAGAACTGTACAGGCTCCAGTGAAAAAAAAAAAAAGATTCAGTCCTCTAACTGAACACCTGAGCTCTGAGTTTTAAGGAAGACAGAGATCAGCAAGTCAGCTGCTGTTCATATTGCTTTGTTACTCATAATCAAAAACCAGAGGCTTGGGGAGTGCTTAGTAACATAATCCATCCCTTCCTAGGAATTTGATCTAATTTTTCTTTTAAAATAACTTTATTCTCCTGCCTTGGTTATAAATATAACTTCAGAAACAAGTATGAGCCAAGGCTAAATTCCAAACTAAGAACTGATACAATATAGGACAGCAGTGGGGTTGCAATTTCAGGTTAATACACTGAGTCAATCCTGTCGAGGTGGGCGTTAGGGCTTCTCAGTTTCAATGAGTACCTCAGCTGCTGTCTTTAGACAGTAATGTTTCCCAGACTCACTGCAGAAGTGCCTATCAAACTGTTTCTTAGAGCAAATAGCAACCTGCTTATATATCAGCAAAAGGAGTCTGGCAAAGGACAAAACAGAAGGCACTTCAGCCACTCAGAGCTAGAGACCACCGTTAGAGGGACTGAAAAGGAACCAACTGGGGAAAGTTATCTTCCCTGGGAGCTGGGGAGAAAAGGTGGCTGGATGAAGCCACAGAGCTCAGCCAAGTTAAAAGCTGCATGCTGGACTTCTCAATATTAAATACAACCATGGCCTTTATTTTTAGACATCTGCGCTAAGAGAGATTAAGATGCCAGAAGTGATTATCCTTCACAGGCAGAGTCACTCAGGAATCCAATCTGTATATTGCAGATACTTGCAATCATTGATTCACCAGGATAAAGCGCTGAGCTACAATTCACATAGTTTTAGTGCCACACAACACAGCAGTCAAAAAATTTGCCTCATTAGAACAGTGTACAAACTGACAATCTGCTATGCTGCTTTACAAAATCATCATGGGAGAAAATATCTTTAGGTTCGCCTTAACCTACCATCTGTCCACACAAAAAAATCAAAATACATTAACTTACATACCACATTTTGCCAGCCAATAGCAGCCATTAAGCATTATTCCTTTCTCCCACCCTCCACCTTAAAAGGGACTATTCTGTATCCCTTCAGTCATGGCATATACATCTTCTGTGAAGAAAATAAGCCAAAGCAACTGTGAGCAAAAAAGTACAGTCTAGGGTGCAATATACAACCCAGTGCACATGCTTTGCTATATACTGCTACCCTGAAGTGCAGAATATTTGCACTAATATAGGAAACTCTCAATGGCAGCAGGAGGCAGCACTTGTAGCCTACACCAGGCCTGGCCTGTGCCTTCAGAGACCTATTTCAAACCAGTTGGACATTAACCTAAATTTATTTGAGTTCCAAATAAATTGCACATTCTTAGTCCTAACTTCCTGTTTCAGAGTGCAACAACATTTTAATTTATCCTAAAGTGAGGACAAAATGAATCGTGTGAATCTATGGGGATGCATTGGGTATGCTGAATGAGGAACGGGCATAATCATTTAAAGCAGAAGCAATTAGATCATAGGGAATGCATTTAAATAGATACAGCAGCAATTATTTCATTTCCAGCTACTTGAGACTATGAGACCATAACCTGAAAATTTAGTCAATGACTTTTGGTTTGTAGACAAGTGCTAAACTACAGGATTTTAGCCTTCCATGGTTAACTGATCAGAACATGCTTTTCATTCATTCTTGTTTTTTAGACTTGTTAATGCAGAAAATCTGCATAATAATGAAAGCTGAAAGTGTAGTGTCAAATAAATGGAACTTAATATCAAAATAACAGAGCCTGTTGCACTTTTGAGTTATTTTTCATATTTAATTAACTGAAAACTTAAATTCTGAATTTTAATTCACTGAAAAATAACTTCATGAACACAAAATTATGATTGCCTCTAGTGTTTCATGTCCTTCCAGAAGGCTGACTTCAAAAACACACAAATTTTGGAGGGGAAGGGTGGCAAGAAGGAAGCACACTTGAAACAAACCTTAAGTTGCATTACTGAGAGCAAAATTCCCTGTACAAATGCCAATTGAATGGGATCTTGGAGGTGAGAATAGAGCAGGGATTACTAAAGCAAGTTGAAGGAATGATGGCTGCAGGAGTCCAGCAAAGAAAAAGGAGAGAATCCTCGAGGCAGGAGACACGACAAAATAACTATCTGCATTAATTTAAAGAAAAAAAGAAAAATGTTTACAATGTGTTCACATAGCCTTTTGAAATAGAGAGAAACAAATTGGTAGGATTAAATAGGATTTATCAATCATCAGAGGGATATGCCTCTTTCTTTTTTCCCTCCCCTTCTGCATCAAGTTCAGCACTATCAGTAGAAGATTTTTCACCTTCTCAGATAACGTTATGAACAGCAGTCCTGATGCCACAAGCATGGCAAAAGTTCCTTAGCTGTATCTGGTTCTCTCTGCTACTGAATAGCCTATTGTAATCAATGTATTAAAGAATAAACCCAACCCAGTTTTCTCAACAACCTGAGAAGCTATACTAAAATTACAGTTAATTATGTATGTATATGCTCGGTTTAGCTCTCTGTAGAGGACTTCAGGCTTGGCACGAAATTGCTCTTCAGCTTGATAGGCAGACAACAAACTGCACTGATGTTCAGCTCACCACAACAGTGATATCTATGCTACAAAGAAAAGAGCTGAAACTTCACTTTCCTCAAGCGATCCTACCTCACAGAAAGAAATAGCATTTGCTTGTTTTATTTATTCAGTTTAGAGGACACTGACACACATACATACAAAAAGGAGCACTGAATGCAGTTCTGTTATGTGCTACAGGAGAACTGCAGAAGAAACATGTGAAAGAGAACCAAACATAGGCCCAGTCCTCAAGAATATCAAGGTTGCATATATGTCCATGATAACCACTGAACATATGCCAAAACACATCATACTAGTGGCCACTGTATTACTTGTTTTATTGTGCCAACGCATTTATAGGTAAGTCACAACTGCTTGGTAGCTCGCACAGGAATTTTGATCTCTTCTGGTCTGGCTATTACAGCCAGCTATTTTCTATTCCTAGCATTAATAGTTTGCATGTTCACATCATCCCTTCCTTTCAGATCCTCTATGGGTTTTGGCTGGAATAGAGCTAATTTGCTTCACAGCAGTTCATATGGTGCTGTTTTGGACTTCTGTCCAGAACAGTGATGATAACACACATGCTTGAGCTACTGCTGAACAGTGCTTGCACAGCGCCAAGGCCATCTCTGTTCCTCATGCCACCCCACCACCACGTAGGCTGGGGGTGCAACAAGAAGTTGGAAGGGGACACAGCCAGGACAGCTGACCCCAAATGACCAGAGGGACTTTCCGTACTGTATTACATTGTGCTCAGCAATAAAGCTGGGGAAAAGAAGGAGAAAGTGGGGATG